GGGGGGGGGGGGGGAGTGGGAAAGAGGGGCAGTGGTTTGGGAGTGAGGGGAAACAAAATGGGTAGGGGCAGGGTGCCAGCATATCACTGCCTCCCTCCCCCAATCACATTCCCCCCCATCCCCAACAGGTATCCTCTTTTTTGGAACTGAAAATATGGTACCCTATTGTAAATCATCAATTAATTTGGGCATGTGGTTAAGTTCATGCCAATTCAGAACAACCCTGATGCATATGCTGGATTTGAAGGCAATAAGATGTAAGCACATACTTAAATGCTTCCTTCTTTGGAATGCTTTCCTGATTTGTGACCTATTAACTTGAAAAACTGAAATGACTTCACTAGTTTCAGGGTTAGTGGTCAGATTAGGTTTGCTGGATTTCCCATTTAGAACTACAAAATCTCATTAAAAAAATGAACATCTCCAACTATGAACTTTCAACAAATAATTTTTTCAAAGTTCTTCTTAACAAAAAAAAGCAACACATGACTGACTGCTCTGCTCTGGAGAGAGCTTGTTTCTGAACAACATGATACCGAGGATTCAGTTCTTCTTGTTCAGAATTAAAGGTTCTGTATCCCTTCATCTGTTTTTGCACCACACTGTTTTCTAGATATGTGCCAGTACCAAAAGACCAACATGCTAATTACTGTAATACTGTACAGTCAGATGTGAGCTGAAGGAAGTCATGGTCTTCACCCATTCTGAAATGAAGCTGATAACGTAGGTGAGACTGAATAGTACAATTCTGGATTTAGTAGAGTCTTCTGACAAGCACTAGAAATGGTATGGAATTTTTACATTAGGTAAGCAAAAAAATAACCATTACATAAGTCTATGGCAGTTCAGAGATTGTTTGGGTTTTTTAAACCTTCCAAGACACTTGCCTCGTCATAAGAAGCATAATCAAAACTCCTAGATGGAAATTCTCTACACCAAAGATATGGTCCAGGAAGTAAAGTCAAATTTCATTTTTAAATACCTGGAAATTAAATTCTATTTGGAAGCCAACACTGGCACCTACAAACTAACACGGTTGGATTAAATCCTTAAACCTATCTTTAAATGCTGAAACTCAAATGGCATATAATAAGTGGGCCTTTATAAAAAAAGAATTGTAAATATTAATTTAAAATTCTACTTTTCAAATGACTGCATCCATGGCAAATTAATGGAAACTGGGGATGTTTTTAAGAGATGGACTGCTGATATCCTCAAACAGACTGCTCTGCCAAGCTACTAACTTCCTTAGATAAAACATCACTCATATGATGTCAGCATTTCTAATGAAAGAACTGAAAGCATCATGCATTTGAAAAGATCAAGTCTCCAATAAAAGGAGCACATATTTTTATAGAAATTTAAAAAGATACCAAGAACCCTGAAAAATATTTTTAGGTATGCTTTGTTGTACAAGTATAGCATTCTGAATCTTGGCAGATATATTTCTGTTGGCTGTTTAGCACTGGCAATTTAGCACTCCATTTCAACTAGCAATTTGAAATAGCAACTGCACCAGTGAAGACAAATTAAACTCATATTTCAATCAGTACTTATGTCACATTCTCAGAAAGAAAGACAATTAGAAATGTAATGGCACTCCTAAAAGAGCTTTATACAAGCTATGTGACAAAATGAGATTTTCACAGATACAATACATAAACCTGATGCAATAAGAATGGAAATCATTTCTACTTATAGAGTGCTTTTTTATGTAATGTCAGAATCACAAAGCTCTTTGCATATTTAATGACTGAGGCCCCCTCTACACATTACATTTATGCCATGGTTAGTGTGTTAATCACGGCATAATTGGCAAGAGTGCTACATATGCACCAAATTTAAGGTGCCAAAGAATGGCAAACCAGCCATAAAAATGTTCTACATATAATGGAGAACCCTTTTACAGCTGGTTTGTATGGTGCCTTAAAAAGTTAATGTGTGGCAGGTTTGGGGCCAGGGCCAACAATCAGATGATTGCCAGCTTCAGCCCTAGAACCACACTGGGAACCAGAACCAACCACAAACCTGCAGACACTTGACTTTTGCCAGTACTGGAGTAGTCCAAGATCATAATCCTTGGTTCCCCCGGCCCTGGTAAGTAAGTCAACATTTGTGATAAACATGTGCCATGAGCGACAACATTCTGGTCAAAACAGAAGAGTTGGATGCAGAAAGATTCCCCACTGATTTTAGGAAAACTGCTTTCTCCTATCTCTACCATACAGGATAACATCATAACCCTTAAGAGTACTGGCTGTACGATTTCAGTAACACATTGTACAATGCAAGTAAAAAGTAAAAACAGTCTCACTTGTGAAATATGGTTGATTGAAGATTCCATGCGCCGCAGCTGGGATGCTTGAATATCCAGCATTTGGAGAACATTGTTAGCCAAGGTGTTGATCAGATAGGCTACACTTGCTAAGGACTGGGTAGTGTAGGCTTTGGTTTCTTCTAGGGCCCGCTGTTTATCTGCTGACTAAAGACAGAAAAAATGTTTATTACAAGAACCATCAGACATGAAGGCTTTGCATATAAGCTTCCTCTCTCTTTCTAAAGGATAGGAATTTTTTGTTTTATACAAGAAACACAATTCTCTTAATTTATCATTCTTAAATCACTCCAACTTTCCTTCGTTTAATTTTTTTTAATTTCCCCAAAGAAATTAACTTAATTATTGTGTTTTTTAATTTTATAAAGAAAATAAATTTTGAAAAGTATTATACATATATATTCAGATAGCCTGACTGAAGAAACCTCTAAAATATACTACCACCATATAATACCATACTTTCCATTGGTTGATCTCAAAGCTCTTCACTCTCCTTAAATACTGAAATTTCTAATGCTTATACTCATGAGTCTGTTCATTTAGCCACTTACAAATATAATATTCTCATTACAGAATTTTAGGACTCCTCACCAAACTTTGTATTCTTTAATTAGGTCTTACACTATATGCCTGAAATAATCTACAAAATAATACAGTCTTCAATTCCACTATTTTTCAGACTCTAAATGCCCTAAATAGCCAGTAAAAATGGAAGCAACTCTTCATAATAGAGGACCTTTAAGTATTTTCCTTAGATATCAAAAAAGTAGCCACTTGAACATAGTCTTCCGGGGGGGGGGGGGGG